AGCTGCTACATTTCAGTCCTGTGCCCCAAGCACGTCCCTAACCCCACCGCTCTCATCTCCTCCACTGCCGGCCCCAGGCCAAGCCACAGCGGCCTCCCCGCTGCCCCCTGCAGTCCACGCGTAGCAGCCCAACGCCCCTGTCACTATGCAGAGCTGTCCTCCCTCGGCTCAAGCCCCTCCACGCTCCCCATCAGCGGGAGGAAGACAAACATCCAAATACTGGACGATTCCACTTCTACGAGGTGCCGGAAGCAGCTAAATTCAGTCAGAAAGTGGAAAGGGGCTGGAAGGAGGGGGAAAGGGGGAGCTAGTGCTTAACGGGCACAGAGTTTCAGGATGAAACGATGGAAAAGTCCTGGAAACGGAGAGTGGGGTGGTTTGTACAACATCGTAAACGTGCTTACGACGACTAAATTATACACTTGTAAGCAGTTAAAATCGCCCAGCTGGCGTGGCTCAGCAGTTGAGCGTCGACCTAGGATCCAGGAGATGGCAGTTCAATTCCCGGTGGGGGCACATGGGCTCGATCCCCAGCAGGGGACCTGCAGGAGGCAGCCGATCAATGACTCTCTCTCAGCATTGGTATTTCTCTCTCCCCCTCTCCCTTCCTCTCTCTGAAATCAATAAAGAATATTTATTTTTTAAAAATAGTTAAAATCATAAAATTTTGCTGTGTATATTTTATCGTGATTTAAGAAAATTTTTTTCTAAATCACGTGAACTCAGTACTTTGTCGGAGTCTTAAAGGATCTCATCTCACCACGTACTGGCTAAAGCTGTGATACTGACGTGATGACCACTAGCTACATGTGACTTTTGAGCCCTGGCACATGGCTGGTCTTAACTGAAATGTGCTGTAAGTGTAAAATACACATCAGATTTCAAAGGTGAATATATATATATATTTGAGGGAGAGCAAACATCGATTTGTTGTCCCACTTACTGATGCATTCACTGACTGATTCTTAGATGTGCCCTTTACCGGGGATCGAACCTGAGACCCCTCGGTGCGCAGGCAGACCCTCTAACCACTGACCTACACCGGCCAGGGCTTGTTGTAATCTTATTATTATTTTTTTGGTTATAGTTAGTGTATAATTGGGAGGCAGTGGAGTGTAGAATCTGGACTTTCTTGGGTTCAGATCCTGACTTCACTATTTCTTATCTGTTTGACCTTGGACACGTCACTGTACCTCTCGGTAGAGACCTGTAAAATGGGGGTAGGTAGTGCTAGTTCCTACCTCACGGGGTCATTGTAATGAGTCAATGGATTAATACTCATCAAGTGCTTAGACGGCTCCCTGGCAGATGCTACAATACACTGGAACCGAGTGTTCTCGTCGGCTGCAGGCAGTGCCACCGCCAGGAGAGCAGGACCTCCCCACCCGGGTAGCTGGCCAGCCTCCTCTCGCCCCCAGCAGCACGGCAACTCACAGCTTCCTTATGATTGTCTTCTCCTCCTTGGTCCGGCCAGCGGCGCTGGCCCTGGCCATCGGAGTGTCCTTGTCTCTTCTCCCTCCTGGGCCTTCTCTTGCTGGAATCAGGCCACTGGAAAAAGGAGGACAAACAAACGGGCTGTTTTACTGCAGACCTCTCCTCTGTGCAGCTCTGAAAGTGAAGAACCTTAATCACCATTATTGTATCAATAATTTCTGCACCGAAAGCTCCGGAGTCAGAGAGGTTCTGACCCAGATGATGAGAATCTTCCCTCCAGGTTTCCCACGCTGAAACTTCTTTCTTCTTTTCTTTTCTTTTTTTCTTTTCTTTCTTTTTCCTTCCTTCCTTCCTTCCTTCCTTCTTTCTTTCTTTCTTTCTTTCTTTCTTTCTTTCTTTCTTTCTTTCTTTCTTTCTTTCTTTCTTTCTTTCTTTTCTTTCTTTCTCTCTCTCTCTCTCTCTCTCTCTTTCTTTCTCTCTCTCTCTTAAATACATCTCCATTGATTTCAGAGAGAGGAAAGGAGAGGGAGAGAGAGAGCTAGAAACATCAATGATGAGAGAGTCATTGATTGGCTGCAGCCCACACCCCGGGCATGTGCCCTGACCGGGAATCGAACCCCGATTGCCTGGATCC